GCAGTGTACATATGTGCGCAGTTATCAACTTGGAAATTAAGAAATTTGTGATATGCAAACACATACAGCACCACCATAAAGAAGGAACTGGACAAATAGAAGCTTTTGACACTTCAACGAATCCATGGCAGAGCCTCTGTCAAATGGATATTAGAGCAAAGAATAAATTTCTGTTCTGTGAAGTCTCCATGACTTACCTTCACAGCAACTAGCTCAATATTTTTTCCTCATTCCCCTCCAGTCGAATGTGCCTTCACCATGTGTTTCATTTTTGATAACAGTTGGTAAAATCTAAGGAAGGAACGTATGGGTGATTTTGAGGATTTTCCACCTATTGCCTATGTAAGTGAGGTGGTCGACAATAGGAAAGGTTTTCCAATTTTCCAGTACTCCGTGTCTTGTTAACATGAAGACACCATCACTAGCTACAGTGTGATTTCATCCAGCTTTCACAGCTTTCAAATGGTGCCAGTAAGCACCAGAGAAAATTATGTTCAGAAACTATGAATTTCAAGAAGACTCATACAGCAAAATGCTTACACTGTAAAGTACAGAGAAACTGGCCTCATCACACATGGGTTTACCTCTGAGGCACCCTAAGTAGTAGTAGCCCTGCTTTGCTTTTTCTTTTGTTGAGCATTTAGTTGAATTCATGCTACCTGAATGCGTATCATGCACTGAACCACTTTTCTTATTACCTCTTTTAAAGATCAGGTCAGGACAGAAACTGTTTTTATAGTGAATATCCAAAAAAGCTATGAAATTAAGCTCATGAAGCTCATTTGTCGGATTTCTGGAGCATTAAGTGTCACCTCAGTTCTGTGTCCATTTCTTGATCTAGTAAAACCTCAACCAGTTTTGATTCAGTAAATCTTTGTTCAATGAAATACTACTCTGCAAACCCGGAAATAGTTTGAAATTCATTCAGAAACTATTTACTGAGTACATACCATGCTCTAGGCACTGTGATACTTCAGTGAACAAAGATCTTTGCCCTCACTGCCCTCTAACAGAGGGAGCAGAACTTATATAGTATGTGTTACAGAAAAAAAGAAAACCACAAAACCAGGATATCATGCTGCAATTTTAAATAGCAGTCACGGCAGATCTCACCGAGAGGAGTTTTTGAACAAGCTGGTAAAAGATTGACCCCTGAAGTTTCATATAAGTGCGCCGTTGGCAGAGAACAGCAGGAAAATGCAGATTACATGGGAGGATCAGCAGAGGTGGCCAATGTGGGGGATAGGCAGAGCGAGCAGGCAAGAGACCAGAATGGGGGGGGGGGCAGGGTAAGAGTGCATGTAATTTAAGACCCTGTAAATCACTGTAAAAGTCTTTGACTTTTACTTAGGTAGGAAGCCATCTAAGTAAAAGATTTAGGTCTTGAAATGATCACTCTGACTGCTATGAGAAGAGACTGGGATAGGCGGTAAGGAGACACAGATGATGCAAAACAAAGACCACACAACCACAATTGGGCAATCACTGACTGATCTAAGCAAGACTGATACTGTAGTAGAGATGGTGAGACTGGAGATGGGACCAAGACTAGACGGACTGTTTTGGCTGAGAAACTAGAATAGAGATGCCATTATTAACTGACTGGGAGTGATGATTAGGAGGAAAATTTTGAGAGGCAAAAATGAGACCTCTATTAGACATCCAAGTGGAATCTCCATAGACATAAGAATATAATCTTTTTTTAGTGACTTCCTACTTCTATCAAGGCAAATAAATTTCTTTAAAGTTTGTTTTGAGGGAGAGGGAGAGAGTGCGAGCAGAGGAGGGGCAGAGAGGGAAGGAGAGAGAATACCAAGCAGGCTCTGCACTTGTGGTGGTGGGGCTCAAACTCATGAACCGGGAGATCATGACCTGAGCCAAAACTAAGGTTGGATGCTTAACCGTCTGAGCCACCCCGGAGCCCAGGAGGTTAATATAATCTTATGTCTTTAGGATTAGATGTGATCACCAGAGTATGAACAGAGTTGGCAAGGAGCCCAAGGTTAAACTCTGGGGCATATGTATGTTTTAACGTTTAGAAAAATGAAGACTGGCCCAGCAGGGAAAAGGGGTGGGGGGGGGGGGAAGTTGTGTAGAACCAACTGAAACACTTCAGAGTCAAATGTTGATTAGACTTAGCACCATGGAAATCAGTGGTAGTTAATAGAGTAGTGGAGAAAAGTCGGACAAGGCATCCTGTATCAAATGACCTAACAAATGTTCAAACTTATCACTGGTCCTGGGAAAGCCATACGTTGTGTGATGTAATATGAACACTACAGCATCAATTTGTATTATATAAAAACTTTAGGGATGCTGGAGTGGCTTAATTGGTTAAGCTTCCAATTCATGGTTTCATTCAGGTCATGATCTCAAAGTTCATGGGTTTGAGCTCCACTTGGGGATCCATGCAGCCGGTGCAGAGTCAGCTTGGGACTGTTTCCCGCTCTGTCTCTGCCCCTCTCCCCCTCCCTAAATAAACTTTAATTAATTAAATACTTTAGATCCAGTTTACAGAAGTTCAAAGTGATATAAAAGGTTAAATTAATGACACTATAAAAAGACAGTCAAGAAGACAACAGGTCTAGTTGTTCCAGAAAGTCACAATCTTGATTTAATCCTGCTTTAGGGAGAAAAAAAAGCTGCAAACAACATTTGGGGAACTGAAGGGAAAATCTAATTATGGCCTGCATGTTAAATTGGGGAAGTACTTTAAGCAGAATGGGATCAAAGTTCTATATAGAAGGACCAACCACCTTATTCATAGGAGATAAATCATGTATGTGTTCTTTGAAAGTTAAAAACATACACATGAAACAGCAGTTTTTCACATTAAGTTCATCACTTTCTGTGAATTTTTCCAAGTTGGTGAAAAAAAGGCAAGGGGGGAAAATTAGAAAATTCTTGACTTTTGCTGTAAAGGTGGTAGCAGAGAAAATAGAGTAATAGCTGGAAGAAGGATCCCAGGATCAAGACTCTTTTTTTAAGGTTTTATTTATTTCTGAGACAGCATGAGCAGGGGAGGGTCAGAGAGCGGGAGATACAGAATCTGAAACAGGCTCCAGGCTCTGAGCTGGCTGTCAGCACAGAGCCCGACGCAGGGCTCGAACCCACGAACTGTGAGATCATGACCTGAGCCGAAGTCGGATGCTCAACCAACTGAGCCACCCAGGCGCCCCAAGATTTTTTTTTAAGGTTTATTTTTGAGAGCGAGCGAGCTCATGCTAGCATGAGCAGGGGAAAGGCAGAAAAAGAGAGAGAATCCAAATAAAACTCTGCTGTCAGCTCCGAGCCCGACGTGGGGTTTGAATTCACAAACCATGAGATCATGGTCTGAGCTGACAGCAACAGTGGATGCTTAACTGACTGAGCCACCCAAGTGCCCTCAATTTTTTTAATAGCATGTTTATTGTGCTTTTGGGAATTATTTAGTAGAAAATGGATGCAGTAATAGAGAAGACTCGTCTTTCAGTTAGACAGGGATATGGATCTAATGTTTCTTACCTAAGGCAAGCACAGGAGCAGAGCATTGCTAAAGCCATGTCTAGCAACGGGCAAGGGACAGGCTATTAAGTGCTTTAGAATATTTGCTTATTAACACCAATTACTGTATATAGCAACCTAAGTACAGCATGTACTAGTACTGCCTTTTAATAAAAGAATGACTGTTAAAAAGCAGTTTCAGGGATCTCTGGGAATTTAGAATCCCTAGGTAGCTAGTATGATCTTTCTTACTAAGATCAAGTATGGTTGGTACTTGGACTAGAGTACTCAACTACTGGATTCATCGAATTACAACTAAATCCAAGAAGTTATTTACATTTTTTATTTTCTGGCATTACCTCACACATTATTTAAAATCAGTAGCTCATAAGCTAGAACTTTTTGGTGAGGTAATAAGCAGAAATGTGGCTGTGGAAGAAATTTTATTCTTGACTCAACTTGAAAGTGGAATTAAAACTTATTACTTGTGGCTCCATTCAGATTGCCAGTACTGATTTTCCTTTTAGTAGGTCTTGCCTTCCAAGTTAAACCACCTCTTTTTTATAAATTTAAATCTGTGTGAAGACTCCCACATGCTTAGTTTGTTAAGAGTGTTCATCATTTTGCCCTTACTGAGGTCAAGGGCAAATTCATCACATCCACTGTACTCCCACTCCCCCTCCATATTCCAACTTACTGCCTACATTCTCCTAGAAACGCCCACATACCAGTGGTTCTCAGCTGGGGACTGTTTGTTCTTTCCCCAGTCCCAACATGTGGCACTATATCTCTTAGTACATTTTTGGTTGTTAAGTGTTGGGGGGTGCTTACTGGCATCTAGTGTTAGAGGGCAGAGATGGCTTAAACATCCTGATACACAGTACAGTTCCCACAACAGAGTGATCTGGCCCAAATTGTCAGTAGTGCTGAGTTTGAGAATCTCATTAGTCCATTAAAGCTAGGTAGAATTATCCACCTAATTTATAGCCACCCTGTGCTGTATCAATGCTTCTCAACCATTTAATGGGCATATGAATTATCTGAGGATCCTGTGAAAGTCCTCAAACCCTGGCCTTGTTTAGACAAAGAATTGAAGTATAATCATCAAAATTAAAAAGGGGAGAGGGAAATCTTTTCATTGACTAATTAGGTCACTTATAAATATATATGCCCCGGTACATTTATGATTGGGTTTAATTAGAAATATGTTGAAAGAAATCACTAGAGCATTTTTTGCTCACTTCATTATAGCAAAGCTATGTTTGGAAAGGGTGTTAAATGTGATGAATCATGTTTTCATCTATCATCCTTTAAAAAAACGGGATTCTACTCTTATCTTGGAGGTAAATATTCTACAGCTGTTAAAACTGATTATGTAACGTTCTATCATGCAGTCAGTTATAAGCAATTTGGAATCAGAACTCAGTTTTTGAAAATAGCACTCAAATCGTAGATTATTTGGTATATGAAAAGATTTTCAAATCTTATTGGAAAATTCATGGATTCCTGGAAAATGCTTACATTTAAAACACTGGCTTTATTCAAGTACTACCCATCTGTACATTAAAGCAGATTAGAAGTAGATGTTTTATTCTTCCAACTAAATTACAAGGGCAGTAAAACGACGCACGGGGGGGGGGGGGAAGGGCAGCAGTAAACATTTGTTAAAACGATTGATAGAATAAATAAAAGCTACCAAAAAAAAAAAGAAAGAAAACTTAAGGGGAAAAAAAATCCATTCTGAAACCCCAAGAAGTCCTGGAATACAGAAATGCCCTCCTTCCTTCAATAAAAATGTCCTGGGATTACATTCTAGATTATTAATAACTGGTTACAGCTTGGTTGTAGTGCACAATTAAAATCACACTAACTTCATCTGAAGTGTCATTCTACAGTTTTATTTACACAACCAGTGAAGGGCATGTTCTTAGAATACCAGCTTTAATCCTTTCCAAACATTAACATAAGAAGCCAAATTGTAATGATACAGCAAATGAGGCCACTGGCATTAATACAGGTAGCAAAGGTCCACATCCAGATGGTACTGACATCAGGGAAATATCCAAAACCAGTTGCTGCCTAAGAGTGGTTGCCACTGACGAAAGCTTGAAATAACCTGTATTCACAGGGGGGTATTGGCATTGCTGCATGTCATAATTAGGACCTCTCGCAACAACTCAACAAGGAACAAGGCAGCCCACAAATGCAGAAAACGTGATTCATGAAACATCTAAAGGGGGAGGAAAAAGAAAATTAGTGCAAAGTCCAAGTCAAAATTCAAAGACATTCCAGATCTTCATCCCCAACACTGCCCTGCATATTTAAGTAACCAAAAGTAAGCCTTAATAAAGTTTTGTTGCCTATTTCCTCTAGCCTTTTTCTCCATGATTTTCTGTTAAAGTCTCTTGAGTATATAATTATAATACATGTCCTCTTAAAAAATTGTCTTGTTTTCACAGTTCAGAGATGAAATACTTACAACTAGCAGGCTGTTCTCCGTATCGTCGCATTATCTGATCATGCGTAAACTTCACAAATGCATCATACTGTTCTATAAAGGAAGATACATATCAATTACATGATATGCAGAATGTACTATTAGAGCCAGATGAACCCTGAAAAATCCAGTATGTGTAGTGAAACAATTCTAAGTTGGTCCTTTGAATCAGTCATGTAACCTTAGTAATAATGACAATAGTGTTATCAAGTGGAAAGAGCACAAAGTTTGATCAGGAAACCTATATTTCAGTCCAAATTATATGACTATGTATAGGCTGGAGGAGCTTATCTCTTAACCTATTAAAAATAAAGGGCTTGAAATAAAAAGATCTTGCTCCGCTCTGAAAGTTTATTGTAAGTGATCTATGAATGGCAGTTTACTACAATGAGGGGAAACAGGAAAACAAGTTTGACAAATATATCCAAAAGCATCCACCTGTAACCTAATCAGAGGTCACAGAAAAAGAGGTCTCATAAGTAAGCAAATTTTGCCTATGTTAGCACCTTGATTTAACAACTTTAGAATAAGAAAGCTTATACTATAAATACCCAGTAAAATCTGCGATGTTAAAAACAGGGAAATCCTGATTAAGTCACCATACACAATAAGTGTGTCTAGACTGATGGAAAAGTTATCATGAAAGATACGGTCTAAAAATCCAAAACCAAATTCAGATAAATAGCTGAAATCAAGTTTTCAGCACAGGAAAACCAAAAAAATCTACATGGCTAACTAATATTATTGAGGTCACTAAGGAACGTGATGAGCTACAGAAAGGTTCATTTCCTTTTTTGAACTGAAATTCTCTGGTTCTTAGAAAACACACTGTAACCAGTGGACAGACAGGGTAAGTTAACTAACTTGAAGGATATGTGGAAATAATACATTTCTTACAGTAAGTTTCTAGAAGATCTAAAGTTAGCTCATTGCATACCTGCAAGTTTTGTGTTCAATATTTCTTCATACTCTTCTCGAACCTTCTCTTCACGTTCTTTCAACAAACGTTCACAGATCATCCCAACCTGCCGTAGAGTGAATAAGGGCTGTTCTTTTTTTAATGGTGAGGATGTTGCAGATGAAGTCCCTATGTATAACAGTAACAAAAAGCACATGATTTAGAGCCATCATAGACTGCTACAAGTATTGAAAACAGCACTCAACTTAGACTTGGTAATATGAAAAGATTTTTAAATCTTACCAAAACCTCACTCATTTCTGGAAAATACTTACATTTTAAAACACAGGCTTTGAGTACTACCCTTCCGTGCATTAAAGTGGTACAAGCATTTTATACACACTCAATACACAGATTTGCTATGAGTTGTCGTCCTGCTGTGTCTGTCTCTCTAGTACTCCCAATTCCTCTTGCTTCACTTGATTTTCTGTAAATTGCGTGGTTGGGGCCAGTTAACTAATTATCCTTGTTAGAGGATATCCTTGTTGTGTCTATCACAAGATTAAAGTATATAAGCTTTAATCTGTAACCATGAAGGCTATCTTTACTTCCAAAGTTGTAGCTTTTAGTTGAGGCTGCCACTTAATCGATCTTCTAAGTAAACTGACTCAATGAATGATGATGAACTTGGTTCCTGCTGATTTAATAAGTCTATTCTCTGCCCTTAACCTTCCCTAACAAGGTTTCACTCACTTATATACTAGCACCCCACCCTCAACTGGCAGGAACGCTGAAGAATTTCGTTTTGAACAGTTTTGTTTCCTAAGCTATTTTTGTTTGACTTTTGGATTTTTTTTTTTTAAAGGAAACTATCTCCCCCAGGGTGGGGAGATCAAGGGTCGAATGCTCTACCTACTGAGGCAGCCAGAAGCCCCTGAATGTTTTCTTTTATTCTGCCAAGTTTTCTTATCCTTGCTGGGAGGGAAGAGAAGGAAGGCAACTGCCATCACAAGAAAAACTATCTTGCTGAGACTTTACTAAACATTTACAGTCACTTTCCACCTTTGGGAATCTACCCTAATAGGGTATATGTACAAGGACATTTTTTGTAAGTACTGTAATACCCAAAATTCAGTCTAATTATCTTCATTAATGGTTAATTATGGGAAATCCATAAAATGGCAGAATATTCAACTGTGGCAAGGTACATCTATACTAACAAATACATGGTATGTTATTTTTTTTTTCCTTAATGAAGGGTACAAATCATATCACTTATGAGAAAGTTCACTTAGGGGATATTATATCTAGGTGGTTGTCTCTGGGTAGTGGGAATCCAGCTAGAAGTACTTACTTTGTACCATGTTTTAAGAGATCACACATTACTTGTATAAATACATATATTTTTTTAATCAAAGGGGAGAAAAACAAGTTTGAGTCACCATACTAAACAACATTTCCTTTCACTTTAAGTTTATTATTACCTGGTGAAGCTGGCCCACTGAGGAGAAATGCATGTGGTTGTGCCTCTGAAGTACAACATGGATCTGTCTGTTGGAAACTAGTTTCTAAATGTCTTCTCTTCTGCATGCGTTTATACTCTTGTTTTATGTTGTACAGAATTTGTTCTAGAAAAAAAAAATGAGCAGATAAAAACTAAAGTTAAAAAAAAAAAAGTTGGGTTTCCAACAATTACTTGGTACAAACAATCTACTGAAAATATTCTCTTCAATTAATATCCAGGAAACTGGTTTTCTGGAGGAATTACTTTGAGCATTAAGAGGGGCAACTCGTTCATAAATAGCACATGCATACCACCTGGAATTCTACATTACCATTTTTTCTAAGCACTGATTACCAAAAGATAAACTTAAAAGTTTTTCATTCAATGTAAAGATAAGGGAGTCTTATGAACTTTTAGTGCACTTTAGTTTACTCAGACTCTTAAAAAATCCCAAATTGAAAGGCCACTTATTCATCACACTGTGTATACAGAAGCACACACCAGTGAGAATTGACAGTAGGTCAGTAAAATGATACAGTGGATGGGAACTAAAAAATTATATATAAATGGTCATGGCCATTAATATCAAGCCCAACAGAACCTATGACTATTCTAACATTAACAGCAAAAAGTGTTCTGAATTTTGGGGGTAAAAACCCATGTAATGTGATTGGTACATAACAGGTACAATAGTAAACCACCATACCACAGTACCATTATCTTCAACCACAACCATCCAAACGGGTAAAATCCTATTGAGCTTATCTTTTATACAGGTATGGTTCATTTTAGAAGATTCCTAATTCAAAATAGCCTCTCTAGAAAATACTTCCCTGAGGTTTCCATTTCCCTCGAAACGCTTTCTCACAACCACCTTAGCTCCTAGATAGATTAGCCATGTGAAAATCCACACCCTAAATTTGTTAATCCCAATCCAAAGCAAAATTAAACAAAAATTAAGATGGCAATTAGCTAGGCATTAAAATGATTTATAAATATATCAGAGTGTAACTTTAGCAATCAAGTCTACAATGATGTTAATTAAAAATGAACCAAAAAACTGACTGAAGCTAAAGATTTACATGAGAACAATCCTTTAAAAAAAAAAATACTGGTGGTTTTCAGGTATGTATTTAATTTCTCTTTTCTGACGTTATACTGTTTCTCTAGTAAGAACTTTTAGGGCTTTTGAGAGAGAAGATCCTGAGTGGACATCAATCAGTCCCTTATTTTTTCTCCTTAAACATTTTAGATTCTGCCACTTTCAATATTTTAACTGGGGTAAAAAGGTACAAAAAGACATCCAGTGAAGAAGATTCCATTTATGTAAACAAATCTGTTATATATACATGAATATGCAGCTTAAGTACAGAATCAAACAGAAATGATTTAACTTTAGAATGGTTGTATAAGGGGTACTTTATCTGTAACATTTTTCAGAATCTTAACATTTGTCTATATTAAACATGGTCATTTCAGCCCTTTTCCATTTATTTGATGACCGCTAACTGGTAATTTAAAAATGAATTTACCAGTGTGAAATAAAATGGCCATCTATTGAAAAGTTAAGCACCTTTATAGAAATGGGCTTCCTAAGATTCACAGAGGGGTCCAACAAAACTACTGCAACTTCCTATACCAACCAGGACAAACGCAGATATCTTTTTTTTTTTTTTTAATAACAGAACTCTAGTAGCAATATTCTAAAAACCTTTCAAAGTAATGATATTTTGGTCTCTGATAGCCATCATGTCACCCTCATTGATCACTTTCTGATCAAAGCTACCACCATTCTGATAAAAAGTGCCATTTAAAGCATCCTAAAGTTTATTCACAACCAAAGATTTCAAATGTACCAGACTCAGTAACTTGTCCACAACATCTTTTGTGTGACTGACTTACTCTTTGATTACCACAACTGTTCTCAAGATTAGTATAGTCTTCCTTTTGCTTCACAAAGTCAGGGAACAACTAAGATGTGTCAAAATAATAGTTAAACTCAAATTTGTTCATTTGATAATCTCAAATGATAGGCTATATAGATCTAGCCTGGCATTAAGATACAGTAAAACTTTTAGCTTTGTAAACCTCCATATCATCTAATACTTAAGAGACAGCATGGCAAGCTAAAGAATTTTAAGGTCTAATATACAAAATGAATTGACCAATTTAAATGTACACTTTGATGACCTCTAACATATGCATATATAACAAACAGGTGTTGGAACCACCACAATCACAATAAAGAACTTTATCACTCCAACAAGTTCTCTCATGCTCCTATTCACCACCTTCACCTTCATTACCACAATATTCATCTACTTTTACTACTTGAAAATATTTTGCCATTTTGAAATTTTCACAGAAGTGGTATCATAAAAAGGTAGATTTTTGTGTCTGACTTCTCTCACACGGCAAAATGCTTATGATTCATAAGTAATTAAGCCCTTTTTATTAATTAGTACTCCACTGTGGGTTTCTACCTACACACACACACACACACACACACACACACACACACACACACACACCTTATCCAATCTTTTAATAGATATCTGGATTGCTTCCAATTTGGGGCTATTATGAATAAGGCTACTATCATTATTCAAGTACAAGGCTACAGGTGTAAAAATTTTCATTTCTCTTGGATAAATACCTAGAAGAAGAACAAGATGGTCTGATTATATGGTAAGTGCATGGCTTTACTTTGTAAGAAACTGCCAAACCATTTTCCCGAGTACCATCTTACACTCCCACCAGCAATGTATGAAGGAGTTCCTTTGTCAACATCTTTGCCAACATTTGATACTGTCAGTTGAAGAACTGAAGAATTTTGAATGCTATTGCCTGCAATGCCTTTTTTTTTTTGGTCAAATATGATGCAACTATGTCATCTAAACTTCACTGTGCCCGTAAAGGCTCTAATACCAGTATCATGTAATCAACAATGTTACGCAGTGAAGGGTCCAATTTAACTTGACTAAGAACTCAGCCTCAAAATCATTTATCTCAGTTTGGAGAGGTATTCAGTTTTAAAGGTGTTAACTCAAGAAATTTACCCAGATTCAGTTTTCCACAACTCACATTCTGAGCTCAACCTAGGTACCTGGCTGACTGAAGTTGCTTCCACACCAGCTGGATAAAGGTCTTCTATACATCAATGAAGTTCCTACATCTACTTAGTCTTAAACTACTAAACCTAGACATCTAATCAAACTGGCAAGTGACATTTTATCCCAAGTACATGTAACATCTAACATGTTGCCAATACAATTTATGGTACATAAGAAAAAGCTAGTGAAATGAAACTTCTTACATTATCAGTTACACATCCAGTTTTAATAATGCAGGCTTCATATTTGGCTTATGAAGCATCGATTAAATTTGCAGCAAATCACTTCGAGCAAAATACAGTTATCTTCATAACAAGCTACACCACAAATGATTGTTACATCCCTTTCCAAAATCCTAAAGACTACATTGCTCTTTTACCACAAAATACTCAGATTTCTTCCACTGCACTATGTATAAGTGAAAGTCAAACTGTTAGCAAATTATGTGGCTAATGGCATCTTCATTCCCATATTGGCCATTAAAGTTGCCAATAAAATTCTCCTCAACAGGTGGGAGATTATCCATGATTAATATTCTAAAGGAATTTTTTTTTTAATGTTTTATTTACTTTTAGGAGAGAGAGAGAGAGAGAGAGAGAGAGACAGCGTGAGCAGGGGAGGGTCAGAGAGAGAGGGAGTCACAGGCTGAAACAGGCTCCAGGCTCTGAGCTGGAGGCTCAAACCCACGAACCACGAGATCATGACCTAAGCGAAAGTCGGACGCTTAACCAACTAAGCCACCCAGGCGCCCCAAAAGGAATTTTTTTTAAAAAGAGCAAAAAACCTAGGTAAATGTTGAAAAGAAAAAGCCGGGCTTGTGGTAACATTAAGCCTACTCCCAAACTGTTTTATTATTCTTATTTACCACTGATTACATAAGAAAGCCTGGACACAAGGTCAACAATATAAACAGAAGAAAGCAGTTGTAGGGATTAAAAAATAACAGTTAACGAGTAAGAGAAACAGCAACAAGATGGAACTGAGAGCAAAGGGAGGAATATAGAACTAGAAAAGCAACTACAGAGGTCTTTCTAGAGTACAGTCCATAAGATGTCTAAAGATCTGTGACATGTGAAACGCAACTTTAGCTCCAGACCTGCACAGACTTGCTGTTTTCCTACTGACGTTATTTACTAAATCAAACATTAACAGCTCTCATTAAGGTTTAGGTGTATAAGACATTTTTTGTACCACCTTCCATGCCATTTTCTCTACGAGGTATCTTTGGAAAAAATAAAGTGAAATTTCATCTAGACAGATAAATAATGGGATTAAAAATAAAATAAATCTTGAAAGTTTGTTAGTTCTAGGCAGGAACACAAATTAAGTATAGAAAACCTGCAGTAGCCAGTAAGACCTAAAAATAAGGAACTGTTTCCAAATAAAATAACAAACCAAAACTAGAGCACTCAACTACATACTAGACATTGCCATCCCCACTTTATAAATTAAAACATATTCATTTAAGAGTTGTAATGGAGCCCCATCTTAGTAAATAAATTATTTTTCCAGGATATCTGTCCAGTAACGAAAACAGTTCTTATGTTCTCCTTGAAGGAATCTTAAAGACAATGTTCTTACCCAGCCAAGAGCTATCCTACTGAAAAGAATGAGTTGATGCCATTTTTAATTCACTCTAAAATTACTACTATGTCAGAGGGACCCAGAACCAAATTTTAACACAAAATTGTCAAACTATATCTAGAGTTTTAACTTCTCTTTGGATGAGCATGATTCCTAATAAGCATAATATAGCTGCACACAATTATACAAACATTAGGGTATTATCTACAGTACTTTAAAAGCAACTGGCTAAGATTCTAAGTTGATAATATATATTTTACTGTACAAGAGGCATTCATTTATATCCTACATAAGGAAGAAAAAGCGTAATCATTACAAGTCAAATTCTATTATTTCACTGATACTGTAATAGCCAATGATTACTTAGTTGAAATGAATGACTCAATTTGTTCAAACCCTGCAGGTCTAAGTATAAATTTTACAAATT